ATTACGTATTGTTAGTTATATTTTCAGGTTCATTTGGAACTCTAGGTGTGCAAAACAGAAAGGAGCACAGAGAAGAACAGGAGGAGTAAGTTCAAAGGAGTTAAATGAGGCAGAATCCTTTTTAGTAAGAGAGGTTCAAAAATGTAGTTTTTATTCAGATTACAACTCCCTCGCACAAGGTAAACCCATTAATAATAAAAGTAATTTACTTTCTTTGAACCCTTTTTTGGATGCAAATAATGTAATGAGAGTAGGAGGCCGATTACAAGGGGCCAATGTAATGTTTTCACAAAAACATCAAATAATTTTGCCTGTTAAATGCAAACTAACTAAGCTGATTGCTGAGCATTATCATCAGAAATATTTACACGTAGGTTCGCAAGCATTATTGTGTTTTATGAGACAGAAATTTTGGCCATTACAAGGTAGGAATTTAACTAGAAAGATTACCCATGAATGTATAATTTGTAGTAAAAATAAACCAGTCACTATCGAACAAATTATGGGGTCATTCATTACCTGCAGAACGCGTAAATCCAAGCTCACCCTTTAATCATGTCGGCACCGATTTTTGCGGTCCATTTTTATTAGGTACAAGGGACAGAGGAAAGGAACTCTTCATAAGGTATATTTAGCTCTTTTCATTTGCCTTATAACAAAGGCAGTGCATCTCGAACTAGTGAGTGATCTCACCACTGACGCATTTATTGCCACCTTAAAGAGATTTATTGCTAGGCGCGGAAAATGCTCAATCATTTTCTCAGACAACGCAAAAAACTTCGTTGGCGCAAATGCCGAATTGCAAAGAATTAACAATTTAATTAGAAATCCTGACAAAAAATTAGCAGATTATTTAGGTGAAGAAGGAATAGTATGGAAGTTTATTCCCCCACGGACACCTAATTTTGGTGGACTATGGGAATCTGGAATAAAATCCGTGAAATATCACTTAAAGCGGATTGTAGGTAATGCAAGGTTGACTTTCGAGGAGTTATTAACTGTAGTAACTCAGATAGAGTCTGTTTTAAATTCTCGCCCTATTACTCCCTTATCTTCCGATGTAAATGATTTAGAGGCATTAACACCAGGTCATTTTCTCATTGGAAGACCCTTGAATGCTATAGTAGAACCCGAATTAATTGATATACCTGAAAACAGACTCTCAAGATGGAAACGAACTACCAGATTTGTCCAGTTGATATGGAATCGTTGGCATAGGGACTATTTAAACACACTACAACAGCGTTCAAAATGGAAGGTAGAACAAACGAATATTAAAATAGGTATGCTAGTACTAGTTAAGGAGGATGAGCTTCCTGTCTGTAGATGGGTGTTAGGGCGCATTACAAGAATTTTTCCTGGAGTTGACGGTAAGGTTAGAGTAGTAGAAATACAGACAGCAAAGGGCATCATTAAGCGTGGAATTACAAAAATTGCAATTTTACCCCAAGAAGAAGCTTCCTAAGTTAGTTAAGTGTTAGCTTATTATTATAAAACTTGTATTGTACATTGTATTGTGTATAAAATTTTTATTGAAAATTGAATATTATTATATTGAATTAAGAGATGTTATTCGTATTGCATTATTGTATAAGGTAGTAATTGTACAATTTTGTAGGTTATTATGAGTATTATCGCACGAAATTATTGAAGTAACCCTTCAATGCCGGGGGGTATGTTAAGTCATTAAGACTATTTAACTGTAAGATTACGTCATTTTTTCTCTTCTTGGCGCCTTGCATGGCGCAGATGTTCATTACAGCAACCCTGTAAACGCTTACTCAGTTTTATTTTTTATTGCTGTTGTTGTTAGTAGTAAGTCATCGCTTGAAAGATGGCACGCATTTGATTAAAGTTGTCGAATAAAATATTTAGTACAGTCCACTTCTAGTTAATTTGAAATTGTTGTATAACAACGCACGCATCGCATGAACACATAGTTTACGCTCAGGCAATCCAAATGTGAAAATAAATTATACTGAATAATTTGCTAGCAAATGTTTTAGCTTAATTATATTGCATATATCTCATATTATGCTTTGAAGAATGTCAAATAGTTGAAGATTTCATGTTCTTTTTGACTTAATATGATCAAACAGGAATAAAAAATAACATAAAGTATGCACATATCTATGATATAATTATCAAAGAAAAAAAGAAGTTTCAGAGAAAAAGAAAGGCATAAGGTCAGAAGAAAAAATGAAGAGGGGGGTCCTCGTTATCATCTGTCCTGGGGCCTCCAAGTCTCTACAGCCCTGACTAAATCATCTTATTTACTAAATTAATCTGCTTAGAAATACAGGCAATTCTCCATCCCCCTTCTCTGGAATAGCTGTCTGATTAACCATGATTTTAAGTAAACCATGGTAATTAATCAGAAGTTTAATTGCCTATCTTAAAGAATTTGATGAAGATAATGAGAAAATAGAAAATTTTATAGCTAAATTCAAAACCTGAAGCATGAATTTTAAAGTTTTATCCAAATACTAAACTATTACTGTTAATGAAAGAAAAAACTTAATACTCATTTTATTAAAATGGTTAGAAAGCAAAAACATCATCTAAAATCAGACAGAGCAAAAAATTCATCAATAATCAGTGCATCAGCTAAAAGATTTTAAACAGCTACTTCATAAAACAAAATCTACATAATAACAGTTTAATGAACTATTTTAGAATAAGCTATTAATATGTATATATGTGTGTATATATTGTAGATTATATTTCTATTTCAACACTTTTTTTTTTTTTTTTTTTTTTTTTTTTTAAATTTTTACCTTACATAGTGTAAAAATTGCAGTATTTTTTTCATTCAAAATTGGAATTTTCTTCAATCATGTTTACTATTTTTCACTAATGGATTACTACTTTGTACTATAAGTAAGTTTTCATTTATGTTCTTGGTTTATTTTTAATTTCAATTTTAAATTCGGTGAAAAGTCTAATTTTATTCTTTTACTTGATTTGACATTGAATTTACCTTGCATCGAGAAGGGCATCGGAACTGTTATTAATTAAAAAACTTTATAATAATTCATCAGCTAATTTTGAATACAGAAGTTCAAGGGTATTCAGTGGAAGGGGGATTGTGATTGAGCCCCATGTATCCTCCTCTTAACAGATACATTACATTAGATTTAATCGAGTTCCTCTTGTTTATTTATTGTTCTGGCTTTGGTATATATATCTGCAGGTTTTTATAATTTGTAGGTTTTAATTTCACATTTCTTAAATTCTTATTTTGTGTATTTATAGGATAATTTGAAATTTATTGGTATTAAATTTACTTTTGGGTTGTTTTTTTTTTTCGGGGGGGGGGGTAAAAAATTTTGTTACTTTTGTATTTATTGATCAATTTTCAGCAGCATATTGCAACAAAATACTTTGAATAATACATTTTTAAATAAATTTTGTGATACTGTTAATATTATATATATATTTATGTGTATACATGTAAATAACAATAAAATAATAACAAAATATGATAATTAAATATTCATAATAATAATAAATAAATTTTTATAGATATATTTATCATATAGCTGCCATTCATGAAATCTAAAATTCATTTTATACTGAATATGCAAATTTGACAACATATAGCTGTAGCAGATTGTGTGTATAAAACACACAGGTTAAGTAAAAACAAGAATTGTAAACATCTTGAATTCAGATAACGCAATATAACAAAAAGAGTTCTTTACACGTAAAGATGAAACACATGATGAAAATGGCTCATGACAGGTACATTTTTACTTATACATCGAAAATCAGGAGGAAATGTTGATCCTGTTAAAATCAGTATCTTTGTTATCATATTAGGCTTCAGATTAGAAGAATTACTAATCCAGTCTTTTTTTTTTTTTTTTTTTTTTTTTTTTTGTTTTTTTTTTTTTTAATGCATAAGTGAATGACTATTGAGCAGGCAGGAGACAGACTTATCAAGGGAAACTTGCCTCCAAACCTAACTCTGCAATCATTCAATTCATGTTTTACATGTTTGTTAAAATTTAAATTTCATTCCTTGCAACAATGGCACAAAGAATTAATTAAATTTGTATTTAAATTAAATTTATTCTTTTGAAACAAATTTATCAATTGCAGATATGTTTGTGGAAAACTACATTATGTTAAAGCAATATAATTATGAAAAACAGGTCTTTTTGTGAAAATTTAGTATTATATCATTTTTTTATGTTTATTTCCTTAATTTTTTTTTTTTTTTTCCAAATAACTTTATTTTCAAAATAAAAAATGTTAAAGAAATTAAATTAATTCTCATCTGCATGTCTGCACCTTAATAACTGCAATTAATCAATTCAACAATCAGGTATATCAGCAAATGTAGGAAATTAAATATTAATACAAATTTTACTAAAAACTCTAGTCTCAACTCCTTTGCTTGTTTCTGAGAAATGCATGCTAACAATTCACACACAGGCTTTTTAAAAATGGTGGAAAATCTTGGAACCTGACCACATTTCTAAATATGTTATATAGAAATATAATTTCCTTTTCAAGTAGGTTTATCATACATACACACAAATGTTCACCTTCAGTTAAACAGTACACATTCAGATAACAAGTCTTGTCAGCCTTTGATCAGACTGTCTGGGGATCTCCTATGCTATTACATAAAGGAGAAACTGTTTGTTCTACAACTATCACAAACATATTTAATTTATTAATAAAATTAGCGTCATAGCAAAAATTACCTTGAACAATAATACCAATCAAAAGGACCACTGTTCAGATGAGTATTGTAGAACAAGAGTGCATCCTTTTTAGTACAGTATCACACACTCAGAGACTAAATCTTACGGTTATACTAAAATCTGCATTTTCATAACAAATTTATAAATATACTGTAATTCCAAACTTCTTAAATCACTTCAAAATATCCTCATACAATCATCTGATCTAAAAATATGCTAAAGCTTACGTAAAATCAGTGAATAAAATAAAATTTTATCGATTTAATAGTTTTTAAAAAAATTCACCTGATCATCTGCTCAAGAGCTAAATCACTAATGCCATGCAAAGTGATGTGTCCATATTTTTCAAATAAAGCATCTGCCAGCAGTGAACTTCTCATAGCTAATACAAGTTTGTGAGCATAAAATACTCTTTGTTTGTTTCCAAGTTTTAAATTTATTTGCACATCAACAAGCAAATGCTTTTCCAATAATAGGCAAATATCTTTACAGATATCATCTTCCTCGATTCTTGTTTCTGAAGAACCTGCAACGGTTTCATATAAATTAAGCAAACCAAAGTCTTACTTTAATGCTTCTAACCTTACATAATATTAACACATCCATAAATGATGAACATAGAAATGCAGAAACAAATTTTATATTGCTGTTTGAGTACAGTAAACTCAATGAGTATTTTTTAATTATTAGAGACTAATCGCATATCTTACAAACTGAACTACCTGTTTTTTTATCAAAAAAAAAAAAAAAAAAAAAAAAAAAAAGAGAGAGAGAGAAACGTGTAACAAGACTCTAAAAAATTACATTTATTTTTTTAAATCTTCGTATTAAAAAGTTATACTTTGCAATTATTTGGTCAATTACATTGGTCAAAATTGTATGGTTTACATTTCTCTTAATTTGCTACTGCTTTAACGAGTCTGACTTGTAATGAAGATTTTGTCCCAAACATAAGTGTCATGAGCCAGGCTTGTGAACACAAAGCTGGGCCAAACATAAACATCACGAGTGAGGCTGGTAATATTAACATCGTAACCGAATGTTAGTTCCTATCAGTACACCACAAGAATTAGTCATGGTTCTTTATTATATAAATTATACAATATTTATTAAAATTATATATTAAAAATATAATGTATTTATAATATCTGCAAAAGGCATATATATCTGCAAATGGATTAAAGTTTACTTCCACTAAGAATTAAAGTTTACTTACTTGAAGTGTTGTTTATTTATGAAATATAATTTTGAAATTGTCATTTATTACAAAATATAATATATTTATAATATCTACGAAAGACAGAAGGATTCAAGTTTACTTCCACGTCAGCAATATCACGCAAAAGTGATCATGACAACACAGCATTTACGTTTCAGCTCGTATTGTGACTGTTCTCAAGCACCAGTCTGGCTTGTTTACCACATGTTGACTCATAACACTTGAGCCCAAATTTGGTTGAGGTAAATGGCAAGGGAAGGGGTTAATACTTTTTCTTTAAAAAGGCTTCTCTGTCACTACATCTTTTTCTCCTTGATGACGGGAGAAATGTAAGAAACATAAAAAATATGCAATTTAATTAATTAAATTTAAATTAGCAATAGCCCCTTAATGCTTGAATTTAATTTATTTATAAAAAATAAAGCTCTCTATTCTAGTATTAGTAACCTTTTTATGCACTATGTCGTTTCGAGACTAAGCCATGTTATAACATAACACTGATGATTTGTGTAAATGGATGTAAATGGAAATTAAACAGCCAATAATAATTTTACAGCAATATTAATTATCGAGTCAAATGCATTAATAACCAAAACTAACTCATTCTGAACACAACTGCACTTGCTACATTTTGGCATAGCTGGAGTGGTGTTTGCTGTTCTTTTCTTACAGCAAAACTAGAAAAAATGTAAGCGTTTTTGAATTATACACCAAATAAAGTGCCAAGCTGTTTGTGGCCGCATTACTGGAATAAAGATCGATATTTAATCTGCCTTGGCTGCTAGATTGCTCTTCATTTTGTATTTCACATTCTACATTGCTATCAACATACATGCTATCAGCACTTCTACATCATTACATATAAGTCTATTGCTTCAATGCACATATTTAGATGTAATAATAAACTGGTCCAAAGACAGAATTTAATAGAATCATTCACTAATAATCATAGCTAGAAGTTGCTGCATCACAGATAACTAAATATGGTGGATATACTGGTGCGGCCGGGTTTACTAGATGTAACTTTTGAAGAATCACAAAATCTCTTGATAATCCAAACTTATCTTTATATCTTGTTTATTAATCTGTTCAGATACATCTTATGACACTCCCCAGCATAATGAGGACAATCTGCACCCCACAATTTTAATTATGATGTGTTACATTTTTAATAATGAATAGAAGCACCAAAGCAAGAAATGTCCTTTAGCTAGCAAGCATAGGCAGAAAAAATGAGTGCATCAGAGATCATCATTCCTTAAGAAGCTTTCAACTTAAAAGGCCTTTACTAATATATGTCACATTGTCTCTACGGCTTAAAAAGAATGTGGGGGTTGTGAAGCTTATAAGGCATATATAATTGGTAAAAGAAAAATGAAATCTTTCAAAAATAAAGCTCTCTTCGCAAGTGAAGCCCTAATCTGCTACCTGAGCACTCAGATCAGTCCTGCACTCAACCGCTCAGCTGATTGGTTAGAATTTAAAGGAGATCAACAGGAATTTAATCTTCTGTTTCCGAGAATGAAATTATCATCTGGAGCGCTTGGAAGCCTATGATAAACTTTTCTTATGGAGTTTTTCAATTCTTTAGTTTTAAGACAATAAGCATTACATTTTGTAAAAATTTCAGAACGTTCTGATCCTTAAAAAATTTGAATATTGGGTTGGAGTCTTTTTTGCGAGATTTAAACTTTTTCTTTAGTATTTCACGATAGATGGAACTGTCAGAATTAGGGTTTAATGCAATTTTCGAATTTGGGAAGGACCCTTTTTGGGGGTGTCATGCTACATGTGTCTCTTCCTTTAATCCATTTTCTGGATATTTGCAAATCTTTTTTGGTATTCGAAGCAACCTTGGTATGAACTAACGAGATCTGGTAGGCATAAAATGCAGTTATTCTTTTCCTCTGGAAATTATAGTCAGAACTTCTATGGTTTTTACCACATTTGCAGCATTTTTGTTCATTGTAATATCAATGTTGAGTATGCTCAAACCACTGGCACTTATAGCACTAGGTCAAGCGTTTGATTTTTTTTAGAACAGTTCAATATGCACATTAAAGCTGAAGATCTTGTTTAATTAATATATCACCTTTTCTTCTTTAGATCTGCGAAATACATCGGATGTTTGACTACTGAGTCATTTATTTCTCTTGTGAATTGCTTTACTTTGAGAGCTGGGAATTTCCTGTCAGAGGGGTTTTTGAAGATTGCTTCTTCCGAGATGGATTTTAATAATTACTTTAATGTTTTTCCCCCTTTCCCCTTCATTTTCTTGTTGACAAGCATGAAAATTAATTTTATTTAGTCCCATGAAATTTACAGTTTTCCTGTAATCTTATTTTCGCATACAGAAAAATGGATTTGCCTCTTTACATAGTTTGCTTAAAGTTTAATTGAGTGAAAGCCAATGAATGCTGTCTTGGTATACTACTATAGGCAGAATTTTATTTTTATCTTCATTTTCAGTGTGTGATTGTTCAGCTGCATAAGAAGCATTGTTTAAATCTGGGGAGAGTTTTTCAAATCAGTTTTCATGCACAATTTCCATATTCTCAATATTTAGTAGTTCAGTATGATCCAGATTCCATTGTTGTTATATTCACTTCTGCATCAGTTGTTTTTTGTTTTTGAATTTAAGGGATTTTCTTCTCAGTTGTTTGAGTTTCCATGTAAAAGTTGGTTTGGTCAATTCTGTGAAGATTTTATGGTTATTCAACATAGCTTCCCTTCGTTGGTTGAGATCTTCTGAAAGACTGGAAAAAATTTTCTCTGCAGATCCAAAATATCTTTAAAATTGAAGGATTGGGATGCTTTTTAGCTTTTTGATTTACTCATTGACTTAATACTTTCAGCACTTCTTATCGCATTAAGAATTACATTTACTGTTTCCGTATGATTTTGAAAGTCAGAATTAGTAGGATATTCACAGTCAGTTATGCTACCCATGTAATCATCCATTAGCATATGCCATGAGAGTCTGCCCTTATCAGGTGGTATTTTACTAGCCTTGAGGGGAGTCAGATAAAAAATAATATTCACAAACAATCAGGAAGTCATGTGTCACACAGTTATGCTAATCCTTGAAGAGAAAGAGTGTGTAATAGTTGCAGCAATTACAATTTCAGAGCACTTTGTTTTAATCCTGTACAGTGATTGGGCAAGATTTTTCACATTGCAATTACTGCAGGGAAAGCATAGATGCCTTGAAGGGTTGTATTTTAATTGAAAATTAGTAATTTAAAAGTCTATTATTTATCTGCTAAAATTAAGTTTAATTAATTAATAAATTTCTGTTATATTTTTATATCTTTTATTTATATAAATATATAGATTAACATTAAAATGTTTAAAAATTACTGAAAATTCTGCTATTAAAGTCGATAAAAACATTTATACAAGAATTATAAATGAATGGAAAAAAAAGGCGAATAGACAGAAACAATGCTCATCAATAAACGATGCTCCTATTGGTAGACACAGATACCTTTTCATCCTTTCACAACAACAATTTTCTTTTTATCATATCAAAGTGAAAAACAGAAATACCTACAATTTTGCTTTGTTTTCATGAATTTATATGGCTGGTTTTATTTGCAAAACTAAAGATAAATGTGACCAATATTAATGGTAAAGTGCCTTATTGCTAAAAGTGATATTATATTAATAAACAACATGTTCGAAGCTCATATATTAGAATATCACATTATTAAAATGATATAATTACTTACTTTGATCATTTTCATTTTTGAAATTATCAATGAGAGTAATTTCAACTTTACTTTCTTCAATCACCTTAGAAAGAGAAATGTGTATTTTAAACAACTGTAATAAATTGAAATAAATTATGCATGCAAATTTCTTATTATTTCATATACATAAAAACTTATCATAAGTTAATCATACTAAAGTAATGATAAGTTAATCATACTAAAATTTGTGATTAAAATATTTTTGTGTTTTTACTATATAGAGAGAAAGATATTGAAAACTTTGGCAAATTGAATATTTTATCATATCAAATAATTCACAGTATAACTTATTAGAACAAATCAAGGCCAACATTCTTTAGGTCCCCTACAACAGATTCTATTGAGCCAGAAGCCATCTGTTTTGCAATGAGAGAAACTAAATTTTCTTCGGAACACAATCCTTTTTAGAGCCTATGGTTAAGCTTCTAAAACAAATAATATAAATAAAAAATACAAGATAAGTTTGCATATCATAGGGATATATGGAATGAGCGGTCCAGAGCTATTACAATTTACTATATCTATATTATTTATCTGTTTTTGTTTATAACCATAATTTTGTATTAGTCAATTACTTTATGTAAATATAGTAATATTCCCAATAGTTTTTAGATATTAGGCTTTTTAATGCAGAAAATATGAAAAATAAATTTTTCTTTACTATGTTTTAAAAAGTCACAGATCTTCTAAAGCTGCTAGTTGGATGTGCTACCCACTTACAACACAAAAATAAGCATGAGAAGAAAACATTCATTTCTTACATAATGACTTCTGCTTCACAATGTGCTAACAACTACATTAAAACGGATTTTGCTTTCAAACATGCTGTACAAAAAATTTCAAATCAGATGTTATTTACTATAATGAAGTCAGCAGTGGTGTTACTATTTGGCAATTTTCTGAAATGACACATACAGCTTTTACATTTTGCAAAAAAGTTTAGGATTTTGATAAAATAAAATGGTCAAAAACATTTTACTTTTGTTCTCATAGAAAACACTACTATAGTTTGTGACATGACTAAACTGGCTGAGTGAGATGACTGGCACATGGCAATTGGGTAGGCACATAGAGGAGGAAGGTGGTTAGTAGGTGCATCTGTGAGGGAGACACAGAATTCCTAAATAATATGCGGCATGCCACTAGACATCATCTCACAGATTAAAAGAACTGATTTAAATACATATTTTTCATAAATTTTCATTCAAAAATTTTCATAAACAATTTTCACCATTTAACCAATAATATTGGTAAATCAAATATTTATTTAAATCCGTTTTTTAATTAAAAAATGGGCATATCTCTAATCATAATAGTACTATTAAAATATGAACATCTTAATGCAATATTAATGCTGCTAGTTCATTTACATCAAATTCATTAAGATACCAATTTCTAAAATCTTTCCTTTTCTCTCATTATTAAATTCCTCTAAACTGTATTCCCCCATCTCCCTTTAATTTAAAAAATGTAATATCTGCTGCTTGCACATACTTCTTCAAAAAGAAGAATTTAAAGCCAAGAAGTAATACTTACATTTTCAGAATTAGTTTCTCTATTATCTGGAATTTTTAAAGTTCTTTTTTTATTCTGTGCTTTGCAGAATGCAGGAAGATCTCGAATTCCTTTTCTCTTTAAGTTAGCAAGGATAGTCCCAACTTCAGAATCAGTAAAAAATTCAGGGTAATGTGAAATAAAATCTATAAATTCATCCACATCAAAATCCATGATGTTGATGTTGGATAAGAAAATATCTCGTTCTTCATTGCTTTGCTGAAGTAACCATGAAGCAACTGCATGCAGAAGCAATATTTCAGAGCTTAGTGTAACAGTCTGAAGTTGAAGAATGGTTAATATAGTGTCTCGCTTTGCCTTAGGAAAATAGGTTGACTGAATAACAGCATCAGTGTTTTCTCGTAAAAAGTCTGTACACTTCTCCACACATTCAGTTTGATGTAGGGTGATGGCAGCTTCAAGGATTTCCAAAACGTTTTCACTAGTAAGTGTTAGTTGATTGAGATACTTAATACATTGGTTGGCCATGGGTTCTATGTCAAATGTTTTGGCTACTTTAAAAATTTCCAACACATCGGAGACAGAATGGTAAATCACTTCATCGTAATAGCTGTATCTAAAATTATATACAAAAGATACACATCAATGTAAAACAAATAATAAGAAAAAAATGTATTTAAAAAAATGCTATGCAAATAATTCATTATTCATTTAAAAGTCTTAGAAACTACTTCAAGATATCCAAAACTAGTTATTTTCAATATTAAATTCTTCATTGTCAAATTAAAGGATACTTATTTCCCCATTTCTCCCTTAGTTAAGAATATAATTTAAGGACTTCTGATTTGTTTGCATAATGTTTAAATTATTCCTTGAATTTGAATTTAAGAGACTGACTACTGTAAATAACGACATATTCCTATAATTTCTCATGTTGCTATTTTTTCAGATCCATTTCAGGCTGTTCATTCAATTTTTCAAATTCATTTTAGCCAAGGCCACTGATCCTCTTCATCTTCTATGGAAATAATGGGAATAGAAGAAACGTGACAGAGATTATAATGACTCCACCATTGAAGAATAACCTTATGAAGCCTTAATAAAGATGGGAGAATACGTATTTATTCTAAATAAATAAGGAAATTACATTCTTATGTAGTGGAACCTTGGATCATGAACAATTTGGCACATGAATAACCTATACTAGCCCCCCCCCAAGAAAAAGGTCTAGATTCACCTTTCATTATGACTTGAGCTATAAATTCTCAAGCCCGCAACATGCAATTTTCAAAGGTATTTTCAGATAATTTATGCCATATCATGCCTGGAAACTTCTGGAAATATCACTTAAGTAGTTTCCATTACTTAACTGTCATCAAGAGTCTACCATGGATTGGCATGGAGTAAATTATGGCTAGATTGAATTGCAGCCAAAGATTATGAGCACTTTGATACTTAGAAGCTTTTGTTATCGACGATGTATCTCTAGGCTTTGGTTTGAAAGATTACCAATGAAAACTTGTTGGAGTTATTGGAGGACCATTAAAATGAAGTCTACAAGGAAAAAAAAAACTTAAGAAGGAACAACAAAAGGTAATTGTGAAATATATGTCTTCTGAGGAAGAGGAAAAAAAAATGATGATACAAATTCTCTGATTCACAAAATTTGTACACAATAGTATATAACATGTAATGTTTTCCTATAATGCTATTATCCTGATAAAACAATTACAAATTACATTATAAATATTTTCAGTGACAATGTCATATCTCACTTTAGAGGCATTTTAAAAAGGTCAGCAACTACAAATTACACTTAACAAATATTAAGTTAAACATAGACCGACTAAGTCCCAAGCTGAATCAAGTGATGCTTTTAAAAGAAAAGATTTAAAAAAAAAGAAATGCTCACTAAAAGGAGTTACCTGATGTTTTCATGAAAGGAAATTTTGCATTTTATCTGCTAAATATTGTCTTTATCTTTTTTGTCTTATATTTACAGGTACTTTTTTGGGGTACTGAACTTCGACACAAAGTATTTTTGCTTAAATAAGCAATCAGTTGTAGTCTTAAAACAAATTAATTTGTTTTATAAGTTCTTATGGGGAAAACTGTTCCAACTGACAAGCAGCATTCAGGAACAAATTAAATTCATGAAGTGGGATTTCCTTATATTTGAAAATAGATGGCTCTTTCCTTGCAGAAAGGTAAAGTCTTTGCTACAGTCAGATGGCATATTATTTTTCTTTCCCCTGAAATCCATAATAAGATAGGAATTCCATGGACATTGCTGATGCACTTTACAATCTTTTCCTCACTTAATTTTTAAATCTTGCTAATTTAGGCCTTTTTCTATAACACATATTTTCAGTATCTTAAAAAGAAATTTTGCTTTTATCTATAAATCCAATAGATGAGAAACAATGAACAATGTTTGAAGAGATACATATAAATAAAAAAAAATAATATTGAAACAATAATTAGCAATCAAAAAGGGTATGTCTATAAGTCACAATTTTTCAATGAGTTAAGTTCATTCTTGACTCTCTATCCTAAGAATTATCATTTTGTTTCTCAGTTTTCAGTTGTTAATGTTAAGAGATAAAAGTGGTAAAATTCCACAAATAAATCATGGTATTTTAAAAATCTGGGACGTACTTCTGAGCAAAGAATCCATAAAATCCAACCTTATAAATTTTAATATATTATCAGGCAAATTAATATAAATATTTTTCTGAACAATTATTTAAAATAGCTTTCATCTTTATCTGAAGCTTATGAAAACCATTTACCCAATAAACTTATTTCTTTCATGGCCTCAATCCTACACAAATCACATTATTAAGAAACTACAGATGTGATCTCTGCCCAAAATAATAAACTGAATATAGCAATAAAACAAGTAACAGCTATCTTTTGATTTTCTAATACATAATGAATTATGTTACACACAAATAAGGTTCATTTTCTTTTTCAATTTACCTTAAGATATTTTTCTTTGCAGTCACAGATAAGCTAACTTTTTGATACATGAGATAAGAGTTTTGGGCCAGTTTTAACATTTAATTTTCTCTTTCTCAAAGATTAATTATTTCTAGTTTTTGAATTAAAATTTGAAGAATGCAACTTTTCCATTCATTTGAGGCAACTGAATGGTTATTAATAACCTTAATTTTAATATCATATTAATGAAAAAGTTTGAAATACTGTGAAGTTTAAAAGCTTTTATATTAAATCGATAAATTTTATAAAAATATTGCAAGATTATGAGAAAATGTGAAATTTATGATATACACAATTTTAGCAAATGATTAAATTCAATGAAAATATTTTTATTGTTTAAAAAGCAAACACAGTATTTGTCACTAGATAGCAAGTAACTATCATCTGACTATTATTATGTAATTTATAATAAAAGGAAATGTCAGGCAAAAATAAAATTTTAACTAAACAGAAGGAAACAAATACTCTTATTTTAAAACATCTGAAGCAAATTCCTTTCTCATGCAAGAAATCTAGAATATCTCAATGTCAGATGGAGTTAGTGCACTCTGCACAGCAGAAATGTATGAAGTGATATCATTTTGGATAGCCATAGTTCATGTTCAAGTCCAAACACTCAAATCTCTACCCTATCTCAATCATCTTGCCAGATTTCCCACCCTCAAATTCTGCTGCTCCCTCTAATCCAAAATGTTCTATCAAGTCAATATTTTTGTACAATTCAAGCAATCTAAAACAACATGGTAGCCGCTCTATGATAACAAGATTTCTCCCACTACTTCTATAGATGGCAGGAGAGCTGGAGCAAGAATGTGTGTGTCCAGTTACTTTGAAAGTGACCACACAATAATTTTTTGCATCGTAATTAAAACTGCTCTTCACATATTTTCTGCAAACATTTAGAAACCAAGAACATAAAAATATGATAGAAATAAGATAATATAAAATACTATAATAAATAATATAATACTAAAATAAATAAATAAATAAATGCATTAAATTCTATAAAATAAATTCAATATAGAAATAAGAGATAAAAAAATTGTATGCTGCTGCTATTATATACATAATGATATATAAAACCAGTTCAAGAATTAAATGAAAAAATGGTGGCAGATAAACTGCACTGGTTATCCTAAAGCATCCCAAACATACTTGATAGGATTTAGGTCCAGTGATTGAGCTGGGCACTCCATGCACTGAACTGTTTACTGCTGAAGTTAATCATCCATGATGCAAACCCTCTGTGATCTAGGGTTATCATTCTGTAGCAGGAAATTTTTACCTACTGCCCCAGCATACGGGTGCACATAAGCATCAAGTTGTCATTTCTATTGGCATGACCATTCATTGTGCCATGTGGAAAGACACAGAGGTCTGTGTGTCTACCCAAAGAGATACCACCCCAGACCAGAGTCGTAGCTAGGGTTTTCAGTGCCCAGGGACAACTGAAGATTTCGCGCCCACTACTGCTTGCCAAGGATGGAAAACATTTAATTCTAAAATGTCGTAACATCAGTTCGGCACACCTTGGATTCTGCGCCCAGGGACAGATGCCCCCCTAGCAGCCCTCTAGCTACACCCCTACCCCAGACACAGATACTGCATCCTCCACATGCATCTCTTTCCCAGATGTTTGATGGATGATAATGGGTTCCAGATTCTCTCTAAATCAAATAAGGCCTACTATCACTTTGGAAACTAAACCTGGACTCATCTGTAAAGAGAACAGCCCTCTACTGATGCACCCACCATTCTTTCCTTCTATGATGTGATTATGAGTGGCAAATGGCTGGTTGTCTCCCATATAGACCTCCTCGTGAAGCCTTCTACACACAGCTGACCTTGACACCAGCTTTCCTGTGGTTGTAGCAGAGGAGGATATTAATTGAGTTGTGGTTCTATTCCTTACATAACAATAAATATCGGTCATTGATGCTCGTCATTGCAATTGGCTGTCCTTGGCTGAATCTCCTGGATGCTAAATCTGTGGTCACAAATTATTTCCAAAGTCTATGACCCACAGAAGGACTCACATTTAGCCACTTCTGTCAGACTTTGTACTGCCTCTAGTCTCTCAATAGCTCTCCATCACAGTTTTTTGCAAATAATGCCTGGAGGTCATTGTTATAAATTTGCTATCCCAGATTTCTTGTCTCAATATCACAACAGGGAAATTCACAGGCTTGCTCTGAAACGCGCAATTTTATGCTCCTTGCAGATGATGTATTTCGACTGCAGTGCCACAAATTTGCATACTGTAGTTTTACTCAGCAATTCTTATTCGACAATACATTCAAATTTAATATGAATTGGCTTATTTTTTAACAATTTATCGTAATTTTTGTGATTTTTCCTTAATTTTTATAAACCAGTGTATTTTACAATGTATAAATATTTCTATTTAAGGTACATAATATACATCAGTGCTCCTCAACCTTTTCTCACCTGCGACGCACAAAACATCTTTCTGGAATTTCGTGGCACACCAAAAGCTAATGTATATATGTATTGATTTATACACAAAATTTACAATAAATTTTTGTTTTTAATTTGAAAAATATACAATTATAAAACCATAACACATTTATTTATATGCAATCATAATAATTA